TGAAAACACCCAAAGACTCCTGCATATACATGCCGGCCAAGATTTTGATATCCGAAGTGTTCTGCTTCTGGTTTCAGTTTTTAATCTGAGCTGTTTCATGTTTCAGTTAGCATTAGCTTTACGCAGAAATACAATCTGTTGTATGTTTCACTATCTTGAGCAGCTACTCACAGACAACCTAAGCACCACTTTACATAATTCATGAAATCCTTTTAATCGTAGCGTAGTCAACAAACTGACAGTCTGTGAGGGCCTCTGCTTTTTAAAGATTGAATTATAGACATATCGTGTTTTAGTGTTTAAGATTTATGTTAAACAAAAGCTTTGTGATGTAAATATTTGCCGTTAAAATTGGGAGAATTCAATCATGACCACAGGTGTTGGAAAAATGGCCTCAAGCTGTTTGCATTTCGTTGAGGGTGATATATTAATGTTCTTAAGTTAAATAACCCGACCCTGTTTGGTACTTGATTTAAAAGTGTCGACAGATGACGTGGCTGCAGGTTGTTGCTTAAATGTAGCACAGATTCTCCAGCAGCAGTCGATGGAATCTGATTGAGATTAGAGAATTTAAGAAGGCTTTCAGGAGGAAGAGTGGCCAAGGGAAGACTCGTTTTTGGACGTGGAGGTCATGGTAAGTGTGCCTGCCAGTTTAAAACTGCTGAGAGATGGACGACTCTGTAAGTGGGAGATCAGGGCCTTCCTCAAAACACAGCTGGAGCACCAACAAACCCCCACAGGTCTGGACTTGAGCAAAACCTGCAGAGGACCTCCGCCCAGCAAAGCAGGGAGCGAGGGCAGAGAATCACAGGATGACAAATCGTGAAAAAAAGCATCGCAAGATTAATGAAAGGGATGAAAGAAAAGGAAACAGACGAGGAGACGAGAGGATGAACACATGGCGACAAGAATAATGAGAGGGAGGGGAAGAAATATGAAGATATTAAGGGAGTGGTCCCGAGGAAGCAGAAATGTAATAACGTGGATAAAGTGCTGGACCTCTGCTGAAGGCCAGGAGAAGTTCCAGTTGTGCATGGGTGAAATTGCTCATTTCAGGAAATCCCCATGTCTGCAGAGAGAATCCATGCCAAGAGAGGCCGTCCATCAAACTAATGCACCGCTCTGTCTTCTCTCACACACTTAAAATCTACTCGCAAGGCTTCAATAAATGTCAGAGTCACTCAAACTCATGTCAGTGGATCTGTAATTATACGAGAATAGAGTGGATATTTCCCTGCAGGGGCCGACGTGTTCTCTTCGAGCTCTTCTTGTTCATACAGGAAAAAAGGATGTAGCATCTTTTTTTTTGCATTTGAGTTTTTAGGCCACTTCCTCTTACGTCACTGTCAAACATGACTTGCGCTTGTACAATGCACTCTGCAAAAAATCCCGACTACGTCTTCGGTTTGGAATGTCCCCATTTCTGCCAAGAAGCCGGAGAGCTCAGCCGCGCAGAGTGAGAGCATGCTTTGCAGCGTTAAATGTGTTTTGGCAGTTTGGGTGGTGTTCACAAGATATCTCACGGATTATGTATTAATTCAGATTCTTTTGGACAACAGCTGCTTGATATGCGTCGTGTTTTTCCTCACTCGGCAGTGGGAAAGACACTCCAGAGCCTGAGAACGGCTTAGTCATGGTGTTTGACATGTAGGTCCTGGCAGCGCGGTGGTCGGCTCTTTCCACTTGGCCGCACATGATTTGGATAATTTGCGCCTTCATCATGCGAGAACTTAAACTATATGTTTCACTTGTTGAAAGAAAAGCCACACAATTCAGCAAAATCCACCCGACCGCGCTTTGATGTTAGCTCTGCCATCCATCAGGTTTATTTTTTCATATCAGTGCCAATGAGCTCTAATGGGCATGTGAGGCAGCAGGACGAGGGAGCTTGATGTATCGCCCTGCAGCTCAGCTACACAGAGAGAAAAAAACACTTGTGGTTTATCCCATAAGAGAGATGCTAATGCCCATCACTGAAAGCCAATGTGAATTCCCAGAGAATCCAGGGTTTAACTGTTCCTATATGTCGCCCGTGGGAGAGGAAATTCAGCATGACGTAACGAAACAAGAGTCTAATCTTCCATAACTCTGTGCTGTAATATATGGAGGGCATCCCCTATGTTTTATGGTCAGGAGGGAAGCAGAGCTTAAAGGCAGGTAAAGTCCTGTTCCCATGGGTGCAATCTCTCCTGTGGGCACAAATCAAAGTGAAGGAGCTGAGGAAAACCGCCACGATTAACCCCAATACAGCTCACCTGCTTCAGATTTACAGAGGTTAGAGACCGAAAGAGTCGTCTTCAAGTCAGCATGAGCTGTTAACACAAATGCTGCGGTGAGAGTTGAGTCAGTGCCTGAACAGTCTGAGGTCATAACTTGGCTCTGAGTAAGGCATAGAGGCTGGGGGGGGGGGGGAGTGTGGATTGGAGGGACGTGCAGAGCAGCCTGGAACTTTTTCCAGGGGAAAGCCCCTCTCTCTGGAGCTCCTGATGTTTCATTTGTATGATATGATTTCAAGCTCTCCTTCGGCGCTTGGACTGTGTTTGAAAGCTGCTTTGTTAGATCGTTAAAAAGACAAATAGACAAGCCTGGGGGAGCACGCGAGAACTAGACGCCAACTTACACAAGGTTTCCTAAGACAGATGAAAGATGACCAATTATTGATATGCAGACAGGGGCAGATCCAGACCTTTTTGACTGGGGTGACCCAACTGGGGCGCGGAGTTATGCAGGGATGGCGTAAAGTATATGTGCACGCGATTAATTGCTGAATATCAAAAGTAAATCGCAATTATTTTTATTTTTTATCTCATGCATCCCTTCACTGGCTCCCATTATGCTTCGTAATTGTTTTTATGATTTTGCTGTTTGTTTTTAAATCCATGAATGGCCTGGCTCCCCTAGTCATAACCGACCTCCTTAGCCCTTAGACCTCATCTAAGCCCTTTAAGACCAGTCCCGCCTCTTCCAAGTCAGATTGCAAAACTAATGGTGCATTCATGTGGTGTCGGACACATCGGAAAAACGAGTTTCCGAGTTGTAAACATATTCACATATGGCACATCAACTTTTTGATCAAATGTCACTTTAAATAGTAACATTTCACAGATCTTATTTGTAGCATCAGCGCTGTTTCGTGCTGTTGTTACAACATTCTGACGAACTGAAATCAGTGACGATGAAATGCCATCACACAAACAAGTGTTTGATAATATTGTCCACCAGATTTATTGCAGATCTGCTCTGCTGCATGTGCTACGTAGCAGGGAGAATGGTAAACTATTAAATCCTCCCAGCTTTGAAAAAACATTTAAAGACAAGATTACTAAATCAACCCAAGCCCAATAGTGTCCTGCTTGATATTTTTTATTTAAAATTAGTATTAATATGGGCATATATTGGAAGAACCCATATTTAGTGATGCACATATATCTGTAAACGCCTTATATCGACCTTTGATATCAGCAAACCACCAATCAGTCAAGCTCTGTTAAGAACAGAACAGAACATGCTCCATTTTTAACAAGATATAAATCTTTCAGGAACGTGTTTTTAGAAGTCATTAAGTGTCATTAAAATCGCTAATTGGTCAATAAATTACACCAAGCCATCAACTTGGGAAAATGTATAAATGGTTCGAGTTAATCAACAATAATTCAAGCTTGGAAGTTTGTGGAATGTTTACACGGCTGCCAAGCAACATGTGAGAAATGTATTTTTACAGATTGTAAGTTATGTGTCCTCCATGCAAATTGTTCCACGTCTCTGTTTTTCTTAATCCTGACGTCCTGTGCTGTACACTGACTGAGGAGGAAGGCATTTTTTAACAAGTGCAAGAAAAGCAATTAGGTCTTTATCACCGGTCAGATCCCACTTTACTGTATTTTCCATGAATAAATGTGCCTCATGGCTGCGTGTTAGATTCTTAAATATAAAAACGTTCCAGCTACAAGAGGACTTTTTGTCATTATAATGAAAGAAATCTGGACGTGCAGGATAAAAATACAAACCAGACCGAGTTTAAAAGATTGCAAGAGACAAAAAGCTTTACGTCTGGGTTTTTTTTATTCAGTTAGTTTGTCTTACATTCATGTTGGCCTGGTTCCAGACCAGACATCATCCAAGAGAGGGAACAAAATCTGTTATTCTAAAAGGTTCAGACAGTCTGTGCTTCTAAAACCAACATACATCAACGCACACATCACATAAATCCTACATCTGTTTGCATGATATACTGCATATCGCTGCAATCATCAACACATTAGAACTATGTCTCACTTTATTTCTCTGTCACCAAGACTTATGGCAACTGTCGAGGAAGATTTATTTCTATACACTAAGAGAGACGTGAATCTACAGGAACGTTACAAAAAGGTGACAACAGTTCAAGCATGCAACACGATCTAGAAAAATAAACGTTCTTTGAATGCCCCCCGAGCAGTAACGTGAGGTTTCAGTTGTGTCTGGGCATGACAGTAGTGTGTGAGCGAGTTATGTCATAATGTTCTGACGGCTAGAGCCCGACTGATAAAGGTGTTTAAAAGATGTACGCTGATGTTTTATGGTCATGAGGAAAAAAAATCACAGATTACAGATATAAAAGTTGATTTAAAGGGGGGCCAAATTATTGATATGACAATTTCACATTATCGATATGTGGTCATCCAATGGCTGCCTGGTTCCAATATTGATATTTTAAAATATATATATCAGCTGGACGAAGGAGAAGATGACAGCTAGAGGATGAAGCATGATAAGAGGGTGAAATGACACAGAATTGCAGTGAATTAATACATTAAAGGCAGGGTTGGTTATTTCCTCCAGATACACTTTTGGTTGAAATTATCTTTAGGTCCTGACAGAAATTAATAACTCATGTTTTCTGAAATAGGAACAAAGAAAATATGTCATCTGTAGCATGTTGTAAGCCTCTAAAAACTTCAACCAATGTCTGCCACGAGGTACCAATCTGATGAACCGATCAGACGCCTCCCTGTCTCCCTGCTCGTTCCTTACCAGCAGAGGGAATGCTACTTTCAAAATCATGCTAGTTTTCAAAAATTACCAACCCTGCCTTTAATCCTGCGTTCAACCTTTTTTATGGGAATTTCATATTCTTCTGTGAGTCAGATATTGTGATTTATCATTTTGTTGTCTTATCATATCATGTATTCCTATCATGAGTAACCCTGAATAACTCTAAACAGACCGCAACCTACAGGATAATCTGACAAGTGAAACTTTGGAGAAAAAACATCAGGATTTTGTTTAGTTTTGTCAGAAGTCACATCAGAGCTGGACAGCACACTTTCTGAATTAGCTCTAAATTGTTGCGAAAATCCACAATTTGAACTAATTTGACTATACAAGGGACTGTGTGGGCTGTCCAGCTCTGATGGGCCCTCTGACAAAACTAAACAAAATCCTGATGTTTTTTGATGTCTCTAAAGTTTAGCTTGTCAGATTTTCCTGTAGGGTAAGGTCTGTTAAGAGTGATCCGATCTGCTCGGAAGAACAGCGTGGCTGCCCTGAAAATATTGAACATGTTTAATATTTATGATTCGATCTCTTGTTGTGTGGGGGGAACCCCGAGGACAGCAGGGCCCGCACTCTGTGAACTGAGAAGCAAGACTTAAGCACTGAAGAAGGAAGCACTTTGGCCACAGCAAATCAACTTTTACTCGCCTCCAGCTCTTGCTCTAACATGTAGAGTATGTTTACACCATCTCACAGCTTCATCCATACTTTTTTCTTTCTATGTGAATTATGGCAGACTCTTTCTCCCCATCGTCGGCCATGTTTATTTACTCTAAATTCACATTTAATTGGATTTTGAGTTTTGAGAGTCAGGACTCCGGCTGTTGGTGAATTAATCTGTTAAGTGTGTGCTGTTTTGGTCTTTAAATCTATCAGGATCTGTCTTCAAGTGTGGGCTCTCTCACATCTGTTCGAATTCTCAAATCTTTTAGAGTATGCCAGGCTTAAGCGAAACATTTTTACTGAGGCAGATATCAGGAAACATGAAGGCCAACAACCATGTATCTTATAGGCCACTATCGGCAGAAAATATCGGCCTACAGATATATCAGTCGGGCTCTACTTGAGGCATCTAAAAAAGGTCCACCTGCACTGTTGCTAATACAGTATAAACTGCAGTTAAGGTCAAACTACTGGAGTTGGAGAGTCTGAAGAGGACAATCCTAAAACAGGAAGTGTCCATCCCTGAGAAAAAGACAGCTGTCTTTCACAGTCTTTCAAACATCTGGTAGGTTATTCTTATACCTTCCTTTTCAACTTTCTGTTCATTGATTTATTTTTCCACCTTCTTTTTCCAAGATGGTTATTAAACAAGTAATTGTATCTCTCATCCACCTCCTGCTCCTCCTTCGAGTCTTTGTACCATGGTCCCCAAACGCCTCCATTGTACTGAGGGTTGGACCGCAGGTCTTTAGATGGGTAGCGTACGGGCACTGCAGTCTTGTTGTATTGCGCTAGCCGCAATAGCATCTTTTTCACTATGTGAGGGTAACGCTGAGACAAGTCCACCCTTTCATAAGGGTCAGCCGTGATGTTGAAGAGCCAGACGGATTTACCACGGTCCCAGCGAACACGTTCATTATGCCAGCGATTGGTTAACCGCTGGTTGGAGAAAGTCTGAGGTGGCACCCAGTCACTGTAACCAGGGACACCCGTCAGGAGCTTCCAATGACCGACCCGGATCGCAGCCTGAACGGCAGTGTTCCATATCCCGTACCCGGCTTTCCATGAACCGTTCTTGGCTTTGATGTAGATTGGATCAATGTTGTGGAGAATGTCGTGACGAGGAGATGGCCGTCCTTCACTGATGGCCTCCCAGACATCATACCCATCCAGATTTAGATCTTCATCTAGAGTCCCCTCGCCCAGCGTCACCAATGTGGGGAACCAGTCAGTGATGTGTACCAAAGATCGACACTTTGTCCCTTTGTTCACCAAGAGTGGACTGTGAACAAAGCCCACCGCCCTAATCCCTCCTTCCCAGTAAGTGGCTTTACTTCCCCTCAGGGGCCAGTTACTTCCACCTGATAATGGCTGGCCCCCATTATCTGAGGAGTACACTATGACTGTGTTGTCATAGTATCCATAGCGTTTTAACGCTAACGTGAGGTTGTGGATGGCTTCGTCCAAGCAGGACACCATGGCAGCATATTTACGTCGATGCAGGTTTGGAATACCCTTGTAGCGCTCGAGGTAGCGTGCAGGAACCTGCAGTGGAGAATGCACCGCCTGATAGGCTAAGTAGAGAAACAAAGGCTGTCTGCGAGGGTTGTGATTGGCTAAGATGTTGATGGCCTTTCGAGTAAACATCACAGTTGAGTACATGCCACGGTCCTGCTCCCAAGCTGCCTCTTCCCCTTCATACAAGTCATACCCACACATACCAGGCCCTTCACATTTATAGTGACTGTAGTAGTCCCCGCTTCCTAGTAGGGAGCCAAAAAAGGTGTCGAAGCCGCGCTGGGTGGGCATGCAGCCACGTTTGTAGAAACCCAAGTGCCACTTGCCAACCATGTGGGTGGAGTATCCCGCTTGCTTGAGCTTCAGGGGCAGGGTGACATTTTCCAGGGGGAGGCAGTTGGGCTGGGTAGCTCGGATGATGGAGTGCTGAAGGCCTGTGTGGATCTGATACCTATAAAACAAAAACAGAACACATCCAGTCAGAGATGGGGAGACAAATCGGAAGAAATACTAACCTTTGATGGAAGCTGGGCTTTCTGTGGTAAATACTTGAGGAATTCTGATTGTTTCAAGTATACCGCTTATACTACTCTGTTTTTTTGCAGATTTCTTTGACCTTTTGTCTGTACTGTAAAGGACAGATGAAGAGAAACAGAAAATTGGGGGAACAAACAAGGGGAAGATGAAACTCAGCACACAACAATTGTATGGAAATAGAGGGCAGCTTAGCTCAGGCTGATTGGCTGCCCTGGCCCTCTATGATACCATGATGACTGTAAGCGAATACTAGAATACCAGATGTTGCCATCAACATCCTCCTCTACTGCTGTCCACTGTGAATGACCCTGCATCTGACCAAAAAGAGCCTTCAATTTTTCCAATGCTGGGTTGGTAAAGGGCCTAAGTGCCAATACCAGTGATGGACAATGACAATGCCACCAAGCCATTCAAGCTGATGGTATGACACTGTAACTTTCTACCTCTAAATGACGCTGAAACTTTCTACCTCTAAATGACGCTGCAAACAATCAAGTTGTGCAATAACCTAAAAAACTAGTCCAGATGGGATCATGTGCCCTGCTGGCCCTGGACACTAATAAAATAATCCAAATACTGAAAGGCTGCCAATATAAAAACTGAGGACTAGATCTTTTCCACCTTAAAGGACTCCTCACACTGATCATTCGAAAACAGTAAGTTGTTTCAGTGACAGACAGAAGTATTTATAATGCACACTGATAAATCTGTCTGCACTCATAATTATATCGTACCAACACTAAAGCAAACACTTTGAGCGGACAGAAGAGTTCTTATAGGCCTTTTAGAAAGCGTGTGTTAATCTAACATCTACCAGAGCAGGGACAGGAGGTGGGATAGGGGTAAGGGTTTATGTGGTTACTCGTGGTGGGGGAGAAGGTCGGGAGCAAACACAGAAGACCTGTCACTCAAGACCTGACAGGAAACAGAGTTGTGACCTGGAGCCAGTGATGCTTAACACAGCACTATTGATAATTGAAGGACGGACACTGTGTGTTTCAGACATTTGATATCATTTTTTTTTTTAAATGCCTTTTGATAAAACCGTAAACTTAAGTTGCTTTAGGCGGTAACAGAGGGTTAAAAGTACCCAGAAGTTAGCGTGACGACACCTTTATTACCACTTAGAAATAAATGACTACAGCACTGTATCTGCAGGCATTTAACAGATTTGTTGATGAATCACAATGCTAAATAAATGTTCTCCACCCAAGTGTTTCAAAACTCTCCCTTTCCCAAACCACCACATCATCAATAACTCAACACTTGGACATTTTTCAAGAAAGCTGGTGATCATTATGTTCACAGAATGATGTAAAAGCTTACTTGATGAGCCACACAAAGGCAGAACAATATTTGCTGTTACCTTCGAGTAGCCTATAAGTTCAACATGACAACTAAATTGCTACTCAATAGAGTGTGTCAAACTTTCTATGTTCTTTTGTATTTTGTCCTGATTTAAATAATGACTCTTTGTCAACTGAGTAACAGACATCCAAGAGTTTGTGTGCAAAGGAGAAGATGACTGCAGGAGACGTACTGCGCTACCTCCTGCCGTCCTATTGACCGCTGAGTCTCCAAGGTTTCTTCATCTTCATCAGATTTATTTTTTTGCAATAAGGTGCAGTACAGTTGAAGGCTTGTCTTCATACAATTGTTTTACTTCAGTGGTAATTGTTCCAATTTAATCAGCCTGTTTAAAATTTGGTTTCATGTTTTTGGAACAAAATGATCCCTTCATAAACAATTTTTACAACTAGAGACTATGTTGGCTACTGTTGATACGACAAATACTCACTGGGGGCTCGTCAGGCTGCTGCCAGAGTTAGCTTATGTCTAATAACAGAAGTGTATCAAGGCATTACGGCTTACTTTAACTTTTCTCTGAAAAATTTGGATCAGGCCAATTGGGATTATGAAGGTCTTCAACCAGTTTTTTGGATCTATTTCCAAGCATGTGAAAAATATGTTGGACCTGTGACGAACTTCTCTGATATCTTTTTCAAAGGATAGCTTGTACTGAGTGGGCTATATACTGCAGCTTTAAATGAAATCGATTAAAACAGATCTGTGGGATTAGAGGTCTGATTTTCAAACAGCCAAGCCAACTTTATGATCATTGAGATTGTGACTGGCTGTGTTGTTGGCCCACAGAGAGGAAACCCAGCTGGGACTTTGGATGAATCTCTTAGAAGCTCTGACTTCATTTCTGTCTGATTGCTTTGAGTGAAAGCAACACACCCGGGAGACGGGGAACTGGTGCCGCCAGATGCCTCTTCCCCAGTCTCCTCTCTTTTTGACCCTCCCCTGCTCCCTCCTGAGGTTAGCGGTGTGCCGTCGAGCTGTCACCAGGGACAGGGAGGGAAAATTAGAGTCTGGTTTAAGTTTCAACAGAGCAGGACTCAGCTGGAGGAGATCCAGGAGGTGGTCAGGGCGAGCAAAAACTCCTTTACCCCTTGGGAATGTGAGTCCTATAAGGGTTACACCACCGAATGGCGGGTGCAGCGTTCCAAACAAAGCAATAAAGACAAAGATTTACAACTCCAAACCTCCTGAACAGAAACAATACAGAGAACAGTACACATACTCCCATTAAATCACAGACTGCAACTTCAAATCCCCATCCTAACTACCAGGCCTGTAGCAAAGCTGGACAGACCATCAGCTTGTATTTCTGCAGGTTTGTGGATGCTTCTGTTTCAGCTTGGTGAGGTTTACTTAACCTTTGAGTGATGGAGGGAGAAATCCAATGTTCACTTTCCCACACACATAACAGATATTTTAAGAAATGACGGCTGCTCGAACACACACTTTGGGCTTGGTTGCACACAGTTTCTAAGAGCAAGCCAAGTGTGATTTGGTGAAGAGGGAATTGGAAATTAGAGGAACAATGGACTGGCTAGTTTTTTGCCAAGATAACATGGCTCTATTAGGTAATTTAGGTTCTTGACTTTAGATTGGTTGTTGTTCTTCTACCGTTTTCGAGCATCACAACAACACTTTACCTTTCATAGAAATATTTACATAGTTTGGACATATCGCCTAATATTTGGAAAAAACACATGTAAACTGTAAAAGAAATAGTCATAACCTTGATGGTAATGGTTTCATCCCTCCAGCCTGCGCACTACAGACTACAGTTTCCTTACATAAGAGTATGTATTATTTTTTCATTATTAATGTGCATACTTGTGAATCTTTCGCTGAATTTCACTGGTGAACCGCGTTTTTGGAATTCCATTATTTGGGATTATAAAAGTTTTTGATAGGTTTTAATTTTTGTACTGTCTAAAGATGAGACTACTTTACTTGCTGTGTGCTTTTATTTTGAAATAAAGTAAGGAGCTTCTGGTAGAGTGAAGGTTAGGACAGGAAGTTAAGCCCAGAAACAGGAAGTGGTTAGAGGTCCCAAACTGACGTCAAACAGCTAAAAGGAACGGTAACGTAGGTCAATGTGTGATGTCATCAGGTGGATATAACCTTGGACTCATCAGCTGAGCTGTCTGAGAGTTTGTTAAAGAGAAATGAGACATTCAAAGATGCAGCAGTGTCCTTCTTTTACATCACTGAGACTACAGGGAGACACTGAGGACGACAATCTACGGTGAGCCTAAAGGGACAAAATAGCATGAGGTGCAATTTCTGACCTTAATAACACCCCGATTAACACTTTAAGTTCTTAAGATAATTTAAACATTAATAAGCAGACTGTACAGATAAAAGCTATATGATGATAGCGGTAGCTTTATAGCAGCAAATCTATGCAATGACTGTGTGTTTCTGCATGAAACCAGGACCGCTGTATAACCAGACCTTTGTTTTTTTATTCAAGAGGCAGTTTGCGAGTTGGCAAAGACATTCTGTATGAAGCCGTTTGTTTTCTGGGTAAATAATACCGTGTGTCCTGCGCTGTGCTTTACTCAAACAAACTGCCATCTGGGTTCGATGTCACTAAAAACGCAGTTAGGAGGTTGTAATGTTTACAACTTGGCAACAAGGATTCCCACAGATTTCAATCCCGGTTCCCAGGACCTTTAAAATGCTTAACTCATCAGGGTAACGATACGGCTCAATTTGAAATTTGATACCTCTATTCACTGAGGTCAGGTCCATGAATTCAGCATGAGACCACAGCGGCCGGGGTCTTGGTCTCATAAGGCGATGAGAAGAATTTCTTGTCACTCCGAGGTCTACGCAGGGGGAACTCTGAAATCCAACCATGCAACATGCACTCTGTGGGATAGAGGGGGCATTGTGGGTCCGTCATTAGGCGATGACAGTCAAATGAATTGAACCAAGAAGAGATGGGAATGAAGGCAACATGTGTTTGTGGATAAGAAAGCACCATTAACACCAAAAAACAACCTATCATGACATTGAAAGGTGTACCTTTGGTGTTGAAGACAGAATGAAATGTGTTTGCTTCAAAATCCAAAAAATACAGAAAAAATGTGTTGGAGGTTGAGTACATTTTAAATGTTGCGCTACTTAGTCTTTCCGCACTTTCCATTAAGGCCTAGTGATCATTTGTTGTTTGTTTAATTTGTGTTCATAAACTTCATTTTTCATTTAATAAATGAACTCTGTAGTTTTTTCAGACTTCTATCACCATAAGAAAAATGATCACCTGAATATCTTTTGCCATAAAGCCTTCATACACTTTCCCCCACTACATCACATGAGGATTGCAGCCTTGCTACGAGCACATAAATGTCTATAAATTGAGTTCTGGACGTACACGCTCCATTATCTTCAATCTCCTTTTGTGTTCTTTCCGTTTACACAAGGATCATTTTCCCACATCTGGCTTTCCCTTCATTTATTTTTATTTGTCAAACCGTTTTGAATTGATGCCAAGGCAGCACAGAGAAAAAGATCTTGTAGAAGTTGAAGTGAACAGAATGGATGATTTGA